AATCTCATGTAAGAACACATACAAAAAAATGTCAATTTCCTGTTTTGATACTATGGGTTATGAAGAGATAATTATTGGAGGAAACTGGGTGAAGGGTACACAGGGTCTCTATATTAGCAACTTCCTGTGAGTCTAAGAAATTATTTCAAAATTTAAAAATTAAAAGATGGCCTGCTTTAGGGCAAAAAAGCAAATATTAGTACCTAATCAGCATCAATACTACTATAACTTGGGAACCATTGAAGATATCTTTAACAGTTGATTCATGTGTTTTAACTTTAAGCATGATGTTAAAACTGCCAGCATTCACTTTCCATAATAATGTCAAATGAATGCCACTGTGTTTTGGCTATTGGCATTTGAGCCTATGAGTTCTAAGTGGTTTTACAAAGAACTTTACAGCTGGGTGAGGTGGCACACACGTGTAATCCCAGTGGCTCAGGAAGCTGAGGCAGGAGGATCACAAGTTCAGAGCCAGCCTCAGCAAAAGCAAGGTGCTAAGCAACTCAGTGAGACCCTGAATCTAAATAAAATACAAAACAGGGCTGGGGATGTGACTCAGTAGTTGAGTGCCCTTGAGTTCAATCCCTGGTACCCCCCCCCCGCCTCCTTCTCAAAAAAAGAACTTGACTGTGCACTGCCTTTACTATCAGCGGTTTTACCACCACCCATTTGTGTATGGAGAGATGTGCTCATCAAACTAGGCCTAGAACTAGATGAGGATTTGGGTTAATATAGAGAACAAAAGGTAAAAGTAAATTATAGGTTTAAAAAAAGTAGATTTGAATGCCTACATTTGTGGGTGTTATAGAATATATAACTTAAACACTTGTATGAATTCTCCACTGGCCAGTAGTCTTCCATTATGCTTCTATGGACATCTTGAGTTGATTTACAGATCTGCTATACATCACTGGATTTTGGGCCACTTCTAATATGTTCAAATTGTGGACTGTACTCTCAAAAGATGAATTACTATTATTGAAAGCAAATCAATTTACCCACTCATTTAATAGACTGACCCTAACAGCTGTATGTTGCTTAGAGCCTGTACTAAATGCACAAATCAAAAGACTGTCTCAGTAGTAGAGCACTTGCCTCTCATGCATGGAACACTGGGTTCAATCCTCAGCAACACATAAACAAATAAAACAAAGGTATTGTGTTCATCTACAACTAAAAAAAAAATTATTTTTAGAGTCACAGAGCCAGGTACGGTAGCGCAGGCCCCTGATCCCAGCAACTTAGGAGGCTRAGGGAGGAGGATCACAAGTTCAAAGCCAGGCTCAGCAACTGGGAGGCACTAAGCAACTCACTGAGACCCTTTCTCAAAATAAAATACAAAATAGGGCTGAGGATGTGGCTCTATGCTTGTGAGTGGCCCTTGAGTTCAAACCTCGGTAACGGAGGGGAGGGGAAAAAAAAAAAAAAAGACTGTCACAGAAGCATTAGGCTTTTAACCACTGAGCTGCATCCCCAGCCCTATTTTGTATTTTATTTAGAGAAGGGTCTCACTGAGTTGCTTAGCGCCTCACCCTTGCTGAGACTGCCTTTGAGCTCGCCATCCTCCTGTCTCAGCCTCCCAAGCGGCTAGGTTTACATGCATGCACCACTGCACCTGGCTTAGGGCTTCTTTTTAATCAAGTCCCCATTTCTACTGGCACATACAGTAGGCTCCCACGTTGGGCTTCGCGTGGTTGGGAACATTGCTGAGATAGCGGAAATGCCCAGTGCTGTGCTGGGACAGCAGAAGCTCAAGAAAGCAAGTAGCCTATTATATGCTTGAAGGTTTTCTTGATACCCAAGAGGATATGCAAAACATCAAGCTTCCCAATTGCATTTACTTTCTTGTATGAAATTAATTCACTGTGACTTCAATACCAAAGGCTTTGGCAGATGCATACACAGTAATGTTTGTTTAAATATCCAGACCCACGACCTTTGGAGGATGCTACAGAATTTTTTTCCGAGTGGCTTTAAAGTCTCTTTTCTACTTGTTCACATTTCAGAATTGAATCCCAATTTCCAAAACTTTCTGATAATAGTAATAACAGATTGCAAAACACAATAGGAAACTCTACTAGAGTCCCTTCTGAGAGTCGCTACAACCAGAAAATAGTAAGACAGGGTGAATTTGAAACAAGAAAAAGGTAAGTGTCTGGGACTGTGAATAGTGCTTGCACCGACTCAAATGTCTTCCTTGAGATCTTTAGATTCAGTTAAATCACAGCCTTATTTCAGTACTTGTGATAGAGGAGAAGAGTAATCACAGAGCTCTCTGGCTGACTTTCACGTGCACAGCCCACGGCAGCCGGATCAAACTTCCAGTGCAAAGCCCTGCCCTCAGCCTCTCCAAGGCCATCCCGTCCTCCTATCCCTACTCACATTGATTTTTCCCAATTTCTAGCATCTTCATTTTTCTTCTGCCCTCAAACATTTTCTCCCTGTCCTGAAAAAAAATCCCTCCTGAAAAATCAAGTAACAAAAGCACAACCTTCACCTGCCCCTGCTATTTCTCCTCTCCCTGCAGGTGAACCTGGCAGACATTTCTCAGGGCTTTGACCTTTTGTTTCACATCAGCCATTCCTGCCCTGGAATCTGGGCTCTTTCCAGTCTGGTCGTGGGCAAATCCACTGGCCTTATTCTTAGCTTTATTGTGCTTGACCTTTAAAAAAAAATTAATCTTTATTTGTGGTGCAAGGGATCGAACCCAGGGCCTCATGCATGCTAGGCGAGCCACACCCTAGTCCTGTGCTTGAACTTTTGATGATAGAAAGTCTCTAAATTAATGGTAGCTGTAAATTAATGATAGCTGTGCTGTTCCAACACCTCCCTTGGATCCCTGGTTGGCCTTCAAAATGCTATGCCCTCGCTGTTCTTATGTTTTACTGACCAACACCCTTCTTCCTTCCATCTCTGAATTTTGGCATTCTCACATTGGATTTTTGGGCTCTCCCTCCTTCTCATTCCTGGCAGCTGCATCTGATCTCACAACCTCAGTTCTTACCAGACTCTGATGGCCTCCTATTTTGAATCTCTAGCCCTGAGCTCCTGCTCCCCAAACAGCCAAGTTAACATTCCCTCTGTTTCTACATATTGAAGTTATTTTTCACCTTGCCTCATAACACCCCAAGCCATTTCCTACTTTCTTAAGATGGCCTTATTTTAGTGACAATTACCCACAGTAAAAACTAGGACATTTCTCATGTCCCCTGCACTGCAGATCCACCCTATCGGACATGAACTTGTCCATTTTCTGGATCATACATCGTTAGCTCATTTTACCTTGAGTTCTGTTGTTAGTGCCTTCAGCCTAGGTTATTGTAGTAGCCCTTGCTCCACCCCCTTCCTCTCCAATAGCTCCTTCTCTACCTTCACCCACCCAACATGACCAAGCTCATTCCCCTAAAGCAGAGTCTTCACCAGGACACTACAATCAAAACCTGATGTAACACTGTAAAGCCTGAAATCCTCCAGCCTTTGAGGATTACTTGAGGTCCTTCTGACTCCACCATCCTCTACATAAATCTTTTTCTGTAGCTCCTCCCCCAGACCTCCTGAAGTCCACCAGGAGCCCACCTCTCACTGCCTTTGTTCATGCCACAGCCTTGTGCTCTTCCTGCTCGGGGAGCAACAAAGCCTGGCTGGCCCGGGGCTTGCAAGTTGTGAGAATCCAGGAGGGACATCAAGATCTGTATGGCCTATGACCTCTGAAACATAAACTGGTTGTATAAGATATCTATAAATAAAAAGGTTATAGACTTCTTTTTTAATGGACCTAGAGCTTGAGTTTTACAAAAGAAAAAGACTTTGGGAGATTAGTTGCATGATAATTTAAATAAACTTGATGCTATTAAACTGTATACTTAAAATGGATAAGGAAGTAAATTTTATTTATATTTTGTCACAATTAAACACACAAATTAAGTTTAAAACATAGGACTTCATAGGAAGCTAGTTGTCCCACGCAATCAGAGGAATGGTCTCTGAGTCAAGCCCAGAACCACAGGCACGATAGTGACAAGAGCAGCTATGCTGACCTGGGCCTTTTGTGGACAGTAACTTGAAGTTGATCCTCTTTCAATCCCACTTGTAGATGTTATTCTCTCCCATCTGACTGGAGTCCAGGATAAAGGCAGAGTTCTTTTGTTTGTGTGTTTATTTTTTGGTACTGGGGATTGCATTCATGGGTGCTTTACCATGAGCCACATCCCCAATCCTTTTTTAAGTTGCTTAGGGCCTCACTAAATTGCTGAGGTTGGCCTCAAACTTGCAATCCTCCTACCTCTGCCTCCTGAGTCTCTAGGATTACAAGCCTGTGTCACTGCACCCAGCTTTTTGGTTCATCTTACTGTAAAATAAGAAGATGCATTGGTGGGCCTAGTGACACACGCCTGTAATCCCAGCAACATGAGAAGCTGAGGCAGGAACATGGCAAGTTTGAGGCCAGCCTCAGCAACTTAGCAAGACCCTGTCTCTAAAAATAATGAGCAGGATGCGGGAGGCGGGGGGGGTGGTTCTAGGGGTACAGCTCAGTGGCGGAACATCCCTGGCTTTAATCCTCAGTACTGCAAAATAATATACCAACATAGTCCCACAGAATGCTCACATAAAGAGTAAAGAAAGAAGCAACTTTAAATTTCTGTAATCCATTTTATTCATGTAGAGAGATGTGTTCAGAAATGGTGCCTGGAAAACTTGAACAAAATAATGGGCATCTTACAAATATTTGTAAGTATGATACTCATTTCTTTGAATTTATAAAAATCTGAAATGTCCTCCAAAAGTTTTGCTATGTGACAGTGGAACTAAAAGTAAGAAGAACAGCAACAGCTACCTTCAAATGCTTAACTTTAATAAAAATGTTCTTAAATATTGTTTTTTTTTTTTTTAAATAAAAGGGCTTAGGAAGTGGTAACCTTTGCGTATCTGAGCCTGGCAACACGTCACAAGTGTCCCTCCTTCCTGCCTCTCAGCACAAGCTAGCCTTGGCTGGACCACTACCGTCCCAGTCCAATCAGTTGCAAAATAAAAAGGAAGAGGTTGATGATGTCCAAGTAGATGTTCAGGGCAGCAAAAACGTATTCTTCCGGGTCCAGGTCAGAGTGGTGATGACGCCCTCCCACCATGAGCTGCACATCCATCACCAGGTACTTAAAGGAAAGGAAGAAGAGTTAGCTACTGCAATCGTACCTGTCTATCAAACCAAGTGTCCTAAATGCTCTGGGAAAAAAAGCTGTTTTAGCTATAGCACAAAAATACTCTAGAAAGTCAGTTTGGGGCTGAGTATATTACTCTTTCGGCGTCATTCATGAAGTCCCCAAGTTTATACTCCTATAAAACCAAGTGCCTTATCTTCCTGAAGCCTGTGGGACCAGATCTGAGCCAAATCCAAAATCTTTGTACCTTTGGTTAATTATGTGGACCCAGTGGACAAAGTAGACGCAGAGATTAAACTACCAAATGCCCTCTATTTGTGATTTCCTTCCATGTCCTTGCTAAACAAGTAATCTAAGAGCTTTCCAAACACTTGATTCATACAGTAAAAATAAATCTGAATTCATGGAGCTCTGGGTAACAGCAAACCTTGCCACTGGGGATGGTTTAGTAATTAATGGTGCTTTATATCCAAAATAGAAAGAGGAAGAGAGGGGACTCCCATGTGATTAAGTCAGTCCCTAAGGAAAGGTTTTTGTTCAGCTGCAGTAGGTAAAATCATCAGGTCTTAAAAATGTCAAGATTTTTTTTTTTTAAAGTCAGCGTGCCTCTCTCATTTTTGTGTTTGCTGCAAAGTGAGCAGTTACTTATATCCAGAATCTAGGCCAAATCTCCAAAACTGAAAGTAGAGAGAATCCTTGGAGTTTTTTTTTGTTTGTTTGTTTTTGTTTTTTAAGGGCTGGGGATGTGGCTCAGAGGTAGAGCGCTTGCCTAGCATGCATGGGGCACTGAGTTCCATCCTCAGCACCACATAAAAATAAAATAAAGATATTGTGTGTCCACCTTTAAATAATTTTTAAAAAAGATTTTTTAAAAGATAGATTTGAGAGCAATATTCACTTCAATGAAACCTTTCCCAAGGAGTCCAGGAGGAAGAGGGGGGAGAGGGGAAATGGAGGGGAGGAACAGGCCTCTTCCTGGGCAGCCTCACACCAGGTTTATGGCAGGTGCTATCTCACGTAGTGTGGGAACAACCCAGTGGCAGTGGGCCAGATTTCACTGAGTCTTGGTTATATTAGTGCGTCTCTGAGGGAGGTGCCAGAGCAGGTGTCTCACCTGAACTGCTCAGTCCCTTAGCCCTTTATCCCTAGGTCTCATCTGAGCACCTTTGGAAGGAAAAACAGCTAGAGTGGCCCATCCTTCCAGTTCTCCCAGGATTTTTAGGTGGCCTTGGAAACACTTCAGTCCTAGACAAACTGGGACATTTCGTCACTCAAAAGGAGCTGAGCATCCATCTCTCATCCTGGAGCCCTAACTCCTTTGCAGAAGTGCTTTTCTCTCTTTCTTGCATCCAAAAAAACCCTGAATTTATCTTGATCTTCTTACAAGAGGGGATTATGGAGTCTTAATGATTCTGCAGGCATGAAGTGGTTGGTTAGGAGTGTGGATTCTCAGGAGAGGTTATGTGTTCGAGGGCAGACAGGAAAGTGAGGGAGGAAGATGAGCAGAGATCCAGCTGCTCGTCCCCCTCCAAGGAGACCAGGGCTCAAGATCCCATTGAAGACACAGCCAACACACAGGGAAGCCCCAGCCAGGACTCAGACCCCCACCCCCAGGAGCATTTGGAAGTGTGGTACCCTGCCTCACTCCCTATCACAACTCTGATGGTTAAAACAGTCTTCTCCTCCAGCTGTCTGTCTGGTGTTCAGTGACCACCCTAAGCCAACAAGAGGTATATTTTACACGGAAACAAACTGCCTAAATGGGCCATAAGAGACACCACAGCCAGCACCAACACACAAAGGCTGAGCACATGGGAGCACAGGAGGATGGGCACAGATCAACTCCTATTACAAGAAAAGAAGTGAGAAAACTGCAGTGTGTGTGCTGAACTTTAACCGCTGGGTGTAAACTTTTCCAACATTTAAAAGATACGACCCAGGGGCTGGGGATGTGGCTCAAGTGGTAGCGCGCTCGCCTGGCATGCGTGCGACCCGGGTTCGATCCTCAGCACCACATACAAACAAATGTTGTGTCCGCCGAAAACTAAAAAATAAATATTAAAATTCTCTCTTTCTCTCTCTTTAAAAATAAAAAATAAAAAAAATAAAAGATACGACCCAATTCCAATAACAACACAAAAAGACAAATGATAAAGCAAAACATGGATGGTTTTAAAACTTGTTGATAATATACTGGATTCATTTTACCATTCCCTCTACTTCTGATTCTATCTGGAAATTTCCAAAATAGAAAAAACCTAATGAATGAGATGTAGCTCAATTGTTGAGTGCTTGCTCCATATGCGTGAGGCCCTGGATATCAGCCCTAGCACTGCAAAAAAATAAAATAATAAGACAAAATCCCCAAAAGAAGTGACATGATAAATGTAAGTGATGGAAAAACCTGGCAGCCCTGAAAAAGAGTGAGCTTGACCTAGGTCTGCCAGTATATGGAGACCATCATGTCTAAGTGACAAGGCCAAAGCAGAACATTATATATAGTGTGTCCATAGTACTGCAAGAGGAAATGGTGCTCATGTGGCAAAAAAAAAATTCTAAAAGGATTCCCAGAAATTACTTACAGTGGTTATCTCTGAGGACCAGGGAATCAGAGAGAGATTTTATCATAGTTTTGTAGTCTTCTATGTTGTTTGCATTTTAAAACAAATGCATGTAATACCTTTTAAATCAAATATTCCTTGAAATAATTGTGAMGATATGAAGCAAGAGACAGGTCAAAATGGAAGGAAAATTTTCTAGATGCATTGACAGTGACCCTGGCCAGTCCCCATGAGAAGTCCATGTTATGCAAGAATAGAAAAGAGACTGATCTAAGAGAGAAAATGAAATCACACCCTGCTACCATAAGTACCGAGGCTTATAAATAACCCTTTGTTCTCTTCTTAAATATTGACTCTTTGAGGAAAAGCAATGTTCTTGTGGACTTGGAAGGACCATCTAACTCTCCTGGGGGTGATGGTTTTAAATCTGACCTTATAAGAGGCAGCAAGTTGCCCAAGGGTTTCTAGTGAATTACTGACTCCACGTAACTAGCACAGACAGCACGTTCTTCATCAAGGAGAGGAAGAGACGGACTTACCATGGAGAAGAGCACGGTTCCGAGTCCAGCATACAGCACGTGCAGCCACTGCGGAGAGAAAGAAAACAGTTGTAGCTTAAGAACAAGACTTTGGAATAACCAAAGGATTTGCTTAGGTCACCGCTGATAGGTAAGGACCCAATATCAAGAAGAAAGTCGAACAGAGTCAACAGCATCCACTCAATTCCAACAAACAAGCAAAAGAAAACCAACCTCACACATGCCAAATAATTTTCCATGAGTAAATGCTGAATATCCCATGCATGGCAGGGCAAGGAGAATGTGTTGGACATGTTCTGCTTTTGCCTCATCCRCACATCTACATGTGTGAGGTTCTAGAGAATCCACCCTCCCTAGCTAAAGGCTGTGATGAGAGGTGGAAGACACCCACTGTGGAGACAGTGACTCTGCCAAGTGGTCAAGAAATTCTGCTCTGTAACTGGGCTTAGCAGATGTGCCAGGCCAGTCAGAAATCAATTCCCCGTCTAGAGGGATCCAAGCAGCACAGGCAGTTGTCATCATCCAGGGCTGGAGATCCACTGCACAAATAGAGATGGCCAGTCCATGCCAGCCCCAGAGAGGAAGGCAAGGTTTGTGTTCCTGTGGACCCAGCTCTTCTTCCCACCTAGGAGTTCCATGAGATTCTCCAGGTCATTGCCTTAAGCTAGTCTGAATGGGATATGTTCCTCGCAGCCAAGACACTCCTGACCAGAATATGGAACTAGTCTAAACACCCAAGGTTTGACTCCTGGGAAGAGGACAAGGCAGAGGTGTACAGCCCCTGAGAACAATAGGCCAAACCCTGCAGCCGGAGAGAGCTGGGCCTGGGAGGGGTGGGCAAGTGCACTCTGCTGGCCCGCAAGGTTCATGGTGCAGAAGGGAGACTGGGAACAGGTGACACCATCTGGAGGCCACAAGAGTTCCAGACTGTACTTTTCAGGAATGTTCTAAGAGTTCAATGTGCCTAGGTCTGACACATAGCAAGATCTCAATGAATATATTAAAGGAAAAAAATCTGGACTGGGCCAAGGAGCCTCCTCTAGGCTGCTACTGGCACATGTCATAGGGAACTCTCTTCCATACTCCTTCCTTCAAACAGGCTGCACCTGTACACAGGAGAAGACAGCTCCTGCCAGTAGCTTTACCTCAGGACCCTCTTGGGGAAGGCCAACAACAGTATAGAGTAGGCTCAGTATTTGCAGACTCCATCCCCTGCCCACGGTACCACCCAGTGATGTCAGTGTGGCTGTCAATAGGACAGACCTCAGAGACCTTCAGCTCCCAGGAGGGGAGCACAGTGACCTTGAGGCTGCTGGGCCCTGAAACTCACATCAATTTGTCTAAGGCACTGGCCCATCATTGGCTGGGAACAGCAGGGCCCTTCCTGGGAGGTAGGGGATGAAGGCCTTGTGTCCCTCAGACCACACCACATCTAGAATATTCTGCCCAAACTCCCTTTGTTCTCCTGCCCATGGCACCAGATATGCTGGCTGGTCCAACAGCTCTCCCAACCCGCATCAGTGCCCTCCTTCCCTTTTTCTCGCTTGGACATTTCTCATCTGAAAATCCTGGCATGCTCCCAACTCCACGTCTGCTCTCAGAGGACCCAGACTGACACAGTCAGCCCTACCTACATCCATCCTTTTTTTCTTTTTAATTTCTTTTTTTTTCTTTTAGTTGTTGATGGACCTTTATTTTATTCATTTATTTATATGCAGTGCTGAGAATTGAACCCAGCGCCTCACACGGGTGAGGCTACACCCCCAGCCCTCCACCCGTCACAACAGCTCTCTGAGGTTTCCAAACGGGAGCCCACTTACATATGATCGAATGAAGATTAAGAGAATTCCATAGATTACAAGTACGAAGAGGAAAACGAACAGCATTCCGTTTAGCAAGGTAAAATCCCACTGGGGAAACAAACAACAGCTCAGTTATCGTCTGGAAGGGATTTCTGGGGGTTCAGAGTTCATTTTTAACCCCATAGACAATTTGCCCTGACCAATTCAGGAAACCATGGAAACCCATTAGTGCCAACCACTGAAAAATGCTACCTAAAAAGTGTCATATTGACTGGGATTTGCTTCTGGAGGGAGAAAAAGGAAGGAGCATGAATGAAATGATAGAAGTCAAGAGTTGGTGATCCGGGCTGGGGATGTGGCTCAAGCGGTAGCCTGCTCGCCTGGCATGCGTGTGGCCCGGGTTCGATCCTCAGCACCACATACAAACAAAGATGTTGTGTCTGCCAAAAAAAAAAAGAGTTGGTGATCCCTAAAACTGTAGGTGATAAGTAACATGGGGTTCACTATGCCATTCTATTTTTATATTTATATGAAATTTCCCCTAGTAAAAAGGGTTCACTGGAAAAATGATGTGGATTTATGTGGATAGTAGTATCATGACTATTCACATTTTTAAGAACATATGCATAGAAAACATTATGGAATGAAATATACCCAGATATCAACTGGGAATCTTTTTTCATGTTTAAATGCATATAGTTTAATGAAGATATATACTAAGTTTTCAAAAATTGCTGTTTTTTTTAATTTTGAAATTGATTACTGCAACTTTTCTTATTTTTGTCTTTTTAAACTAGCTTAGGCTGATCAGGGGCTTTTTTTAAATTTTTTTTGTAGTTGTAGATGGACAGAATGCCTTTATTTTATGTATCTGTAGTGCTAAGGATCACACCCAGTGCCTCACACATGCCAGGCAAGCATATTGTCACTGAGCTATAGCCCAAGACCCCTTTCTTTTCTTTCTTTTTTTTTTTTTTTTAAAGAAAAGGGATAAGACAGTCATCTTCTGCCTGGGGGAGGAAATAAATTATGCAGCAAAAGAAGAGCCTCAATATCCAAAATATCCTAAGTATGTTCTTGCATTGCCCCTCTTGCCCCCTACCCTGGAAATGCCCAGAGAATAATCTAAAGCACTGGTTCCCTAAGTGTGGGTCCCAGACCTGCAGCATCCATTAGCACCACCTGGGAAGTGCTGGACAGGCCCCACCTCAGACCTGCTGACTCAACAACCTTGGGGCAGGGGACTGGCAACRTCTCAACAGGCCCTCCAGGGGGTTGGGAGCAACTTTGTCTAGAACTGCGCCTTCAAAAAGACAACCACTAGCCACCTGTGGCTACTATACACCTGGAATGTGGCCAGTCCAAAATGAAATATGCTCTAAGTATAAAATACACACTAAGTTTTGAATTTTAACTCACAAAAGAATGTTAAACATTCATGTTTGTTATGTGGATTGCATGTTGAAATGGTAACGTTTCCTATATATTGGCTTAAATAAAATATATTGAAACTAGTTTCCTTTCTTTTTTCCCATATTGCTTATTGGTGCCATGTAATTTTATACAATGGWGGGTCACCTGTTTCTTTTCACTTTTTAAATGTGTTACTAGGAAATTTAAGACTGTCTTATTATATGACYTGGACGGTGCCTGACGGCATACTCCTCTTGACCAGCTCGGATCTACAGAGTAGTCAACTTGGCTCGTAACACTGACACCTTAGGCCTGGTCCTCCTTAGTGGAAAGGAAGACAACTGGGGTGAGGTTAATTCAGATGGGGAGCCCTGTTGGCTCTGAACAGACCTGAGATCAACAGGTGCTAAGTCACACCCGTGGGGGACTTTCAGCTCTAGAGACCCACAGAGCGCACAGCAACCCTGGGATCCAGGTGCCCATCATTCAGGAACAACRATGGGTCATGGCATCTCTGCCCCCTACCCCTCTCCTGGGCCAGTGCCAAGAGCTCACAAGAGCCATACCCTCACCCTAAATTCCCAAACTCCGTTTTAGAGAGAAAAGGAGGAAAAGCCAGAAGTGGTACAAATGGTACTGTGGCCAGGCATGGTGGCACATGCCTGTAATCCCAGCGGCTTGGCCAGCCTCAGCAACAGTGAGGTGCTAAGCAACTCTGGGAGACCCTGTCTCTAAATAAAATACAAAATAGGGCTGGGGATGTGGCTCAGTGGTCGAGTGCCCCTGARTTCTTCAATACCCTCCCCCCCACACACACATACAAAAAAAGTATTCTGGCACTTTAGAAGAAAGTGGACACAATATCTTTATTTTACATTTTTATGTGGTGCTGAGGATCAAACTCAGTGCCTCAAGCATGCTAGGCAAGCACTCTACCACTAAGCCACAACCCCAGCTCCTAGAGGGTTTTAAATGGTTAAATGGAGCTATGCTTTCCTCGGTGGCCCACCTCACTCACCTCAGGAGGGCATATCTGTTTACAAAGAGGCTGGTTTCTGCAAATGGCCAGTTTTGACAAGGCAAATATCACGCTGATATGAATTAACACTTCTGATACATTTTGACCAAATATTTTAGCAGGCCCTTCTGCCTCTCTGTTGCTTCTTCCTTTTTCTTCCAGAAAAAGCTAAAATTCTTCATGTATACAAGACACTCCCTACCATGCCAAACAATTGGAGAAAAACACTTCTAAGTTATTGAACTAAGACAAATCCATCATTTGCCAAGAGAAGGTCGCCAGAGCTAAAGAAAGGGCTGCTGAAAATATCTCACCAACTCCAGGAGCGTTTCAGGGCTGCAGAGACTGATGTCATACTTTAAAAAGAACAGTCCTGGATTACATAACCTTCTCCGGGTAATCTTGGCACTTTGGATCCCTGATGAACTGTAAACTTTTTGAATTTTAAACTCCTTTATTAGAGTCAGGGCCCCAGCAGGGAACAGTGGGTTGGCACACTCAAATAGGATGTTTTGAGGAGCATTTGTTTGTGAAAATACTATCCACGGGGAATCGAGCACAAGTGGGTCTAGGCTAGGAGCCACAGAGAGAGCTAGTGCCATCTCTAGGCTCAAAGGGAAGAGCACAGGGAGCCTGGAAGTCTGTGTTGGGTTGGCCACCTCTGGACAGTGAATTTTTTGTAAGAAACTCGACTGTGCTAAGAGGGACTGGTCCAGAGGTTGCCATGGGAATAAGGCCCTCTCTCCTCCCTGCCTCCCATCTCCAGCTGGGGATCCACTGGTCCAGGTCCATGGAAAGCCCAAAGTCAAGAGGGCCTTGGTGGGGAGACTCATAAGATCTCAGAGCTCAGGGGCCAGGTGCAGAAACGGGTCAGGAGGGACAAAGGAACACTCCCCGTACACCCCCTTAGGACAGAAATCTGTTCCAATTATACGTACTTTTGTTTGTAGAGCAAATATAGTGAGTGCTAATGTCACCAGAGTGGTTGCTGCTGTGGCCCACAACACTTCCTCCGCATTATAGAAACTAAAACCAGAGACTGCAATTACTGTTCTCATACCTTCAAGGAAAGGCACACACAATAATAAGGAAATATGTATCGAAGACTTACACTGATATGGTTCCAAGCAGCAGACCTTGAAGAAGTGTCTAAAAAAAAAAAATTCACAATAAATCAGAAGCCTGCTTTTCAAGGCCTGAGGCTGAGAACCAGAATCCACAGGCGGTGGTTTGAAGTGTGGCTCTGGGCAGGATCTAGGGAGCAAGCAAGAGAGTACACGACCCTGGTGCTCAGAGCTATGGGGCGAGTGTGGGAAATCAACAGTACAACCAACCGTTTCTGTCACAGTCTTCCTAGGACTAACAAGAGGAAGCCGTTTACCAATGCAAGTTTCTTAAAACACAATAGTATATTTAGCATATCCAGTGAATTAAATACATATTAATTACGAACGTGGAAACCAAGTATGTGCATGTATATACAYGAATGTGCCTCAGTAAAGCTCATATTCTGTATAATTAATACTATGCACTGATAAAAGAACATTTTTAAAGTTCATTTGTGGATTCTGTTGTCGTTAGTTGAATGGGGCCATCCACACAGTCTTAGAACACTATCAGATCAGGATATGCTCTCTATGAATGCTTCACCCAGAGTCTGGGTACTGACCCTTTCCAAAGGACCTGGGGTGAGAACCCAGACCTTCCCAGTGCCAGGAGATGGAACTGGGGAGCAGTTCCTGGCATGTGGCACTGCGTCTGTAGGCGCTAACCCTGGGAGGAAGGAGGAAGGCTGCACTGGAGAGTTCCCACCACCCAAAGGGAGCCGAGGCTGGCGGGGCCAAGAGCCAGCAGGCAGTCAAGCTGGAGGATGAGAGCAAGGACGGCACCACAGATGTGTCAGGCTCAGGACAGCCACAGCCACGCTGTGAGGACGACAGCCCGCGGTGGTGGTGGGACTACGTTCCTCAYGCTGCTGAAGGCTCAGTCAGAGCAAACCCGGGGATGTGGAAGATCCACGGAAAGAGCCAGGAAAGGGTCCTTCTGTTTCAGGGAACAAAAAGGAGGGTGCAACCTGACAAGTTTGAGGGCTTCACGGCTTTGGCTTTGAACTTGAGCCAACAGGATCAGAGGCTGGAAAAGAACTGGAGCTTCAAAGTCCTGGGTTACCTGTCTGGCTCTCCCAGGCCCAGGCTCTGCCTGACTCTACTTTGATAAACTTGCCTAAGTAGGCTATCTCTGTTTCCATTACAGGAACCAGGCATTTACTTACTCCATGTACACACCATATTGTAGTCATACGCTTCCCTCCACCTTCCTCACAAGACGCTTCCTCCCTCTTCTCCTAACTCAGTTGTTTCATTGCAGCATATTAAAGGTATGTGTGTGTGTGTGTGCGTGTGTGTGTGTGTGTGTGTGTGTGTGTGTAGAGAGAGGGGGACAGAGAGAAGGAAAGGAAGAGGAACAAATCGGCTGTAGACTCAAAGCTGTCTGATGACTTCAAGAGCTCAGAGTATGGGCTCCAGGGGTCAAGGTTTCATGGGACAAAAACTATCTTCCATGAGTATGTTTTCCTGTTTTCTTTCAACTCCTTTTTCAAAATGGTTTTACCCCTATAMTTCCTAACACTTGGGCAAGATATTAACCCTAGAAAATACAGCTAATTCTTTCCCCCTCTACAATATATCTTCTCTTCAGYTGTTACTTGCTTTGAGAACAAAACCTCAGCAAGGACAGCTTCTCTGGAGACCAACAGCTTTTATCTGTCTCCTCTTGTAATCTGCATTGAAACCATTTGAAATGTTAAAAGGAAAAATTCAAGCATTTCTAGGAAACTTGCCCTCTCCTCTCCTCTCAGCTGCAGAATCCCACAGCTCCCTAAACCTGCCCGTTGCCCTGCCCACTCTCAGGTGCTTTCTGGGCTGTCAGGGCAGGCACCGGGACACCCTCTGCTTGCCAACCTGCGCAACAAGCAGGGTATCCATGCCAACGCAGGGAGGCTCCTCGATGCTCTCACAGCAGAGGAAATGCCTGACTGCGGGCAGCAGGCAGCCAGTCTTCTCCAACCTCAAGAGGAAGCTATTCCTCCTGGGTGCTGCTTGATATGGAATGCTGAGACCGACATCTTGGTCATGGGTCCTTGTTTGCTTTGACCACCAGGAGGTGCAGAACCAAAGCTAGGATCCCTACACCCAGGTGTACAGGAGTTAGTGCATCTTGCACATCAATAGAACCACTGGGTTTATTTTCCTATTTTTTCTCAACATCTTATCTTGCACACATTTGCATAAGCTACCTCAAATCTGATTTGGAACCAGATAAGGAATAAACTTACTTACCAATTGGTAAGTAAATTTTCTTATGCAAGGATGGTCAACACTGCATGGAARAAACTCAAAGACTCAAAAAGAGAATCATGTGCTGACTCTATTCCTGAATCACACTGGGATGGTTCTGGATTTTCCCAAGAGGAGCAAAACACCATAGCAATTGCTACACGTGAGTTCCTGGGAGACCAAGGCTTCCAGAAGGTTCTCGCCTTCTGGGCCCAATGGTTCTGTTAAGTGAGAGGGTTGGGGAAATAACTCTTAGATGCTGCTAAGTCCCTGGGAGTTTAGTGTTGGGATGGAAGTGGGGATAATGACGGGAATCCAGATTCTATTCAAGGTCAGGAAATCTAGGCACTCAGGTAGCTGTTGAGAGCTGGAAACATCCTGGGGTCTTTCTGTTCTGAGCAGAAGAGAAAGTAACTGGCTACAAGAAAGGGAGCCACATAGTTTCGTGTGACCTAGAGGGGTACATAATGACAGAAAAGCAGGTGTAAAGAGGTTCTGTCACAAGTGGGGTCAAGTCACCCTAGAGAGGCTCTGAGGAACCAGGAACCAAAGTGASGATAATGAGCAAGAGAAGCCCTCGGACTCCCAACTCTTGGGCGCTGGAAAAGTTCTCCTGAACTGAGAAGAAAGTTCTGGAACTGGGAACAACCTGAGCTCAGAGATGGCTTCTGCTCCCAGAGGGACTGGAACGAGAAAAAAACACACACCGTACAAAAATAAAGAAAATGACATTTCTCAATCATGAGTTTGTGAACTAGATACGAAACCACCTTCCAGAACAAAATGTGCTTATTGTGCCTGACAGAGATCCCGGGACAATCAAGTTACCTGTTCTTGAAATGCAGCCCTGACTCATGAGAGGGTTCCCCAGGTAGCCTTATCAGAGCTCAGCTTGCCAGTGGAAGGAGCAGCTTAGGAGTCCAAACTCTCTAACTTGCTAAAGGGGTGTAGATACCTCGCAGGTAAGTTTACTACCTCATTACAACCAGAATTTCTCTCAGGAGTATTCCACAGATAATCCCTACGTGCATTACTCCACAAGAAGAGTCTCCACAAGAAAAGGGAATGAATTTAATATGGCAACTAAAATATACTTCAGAGATGAACTAGAGCATGTGCAAAGTTTACTTACAAAGAATCCCAGGAGAATGTAATTTGCAGGCACCTGACGGCGGAGATTCCCACAGCAGGCAAGTATAATTAGTACAACAAAAAATGCTGGGCTGCAGGATAATGTAAAACCCAGTGTTATTTGCATCCAGTGATCATATTATATGATATATACAGACAGATATGCAGACTATATCATTAAATGACATTATCTGATAAGAATTACAAAATTATAAAAATGATATTTCCTTTCTCTCTTCCTCTCTGCCTTTAAAATTTTTTTTCATTGCCATCTGAAGATAGCTTGTGGGATTTAAAAAATAATTATAGATTCATAGCAAATTGCAAAGAGACCAAAAGGTCCCATGAAATCTACACTCAATTTCCTCTAATGATTGCAATTTATTATTTATAATATAATATTAAAATCAGTAATTTGATATTGGTATAGTGTGTCTATTGTGTCTATCTAGTTCTTTGACATAAAACTATGACACAAATCTATGTGTAAATACAAGTAACAACCACCATGATCAAAATTCAGAGCTATTCCATCAATAACACATCTACAAAGACTTTTCTGGTGTTACCTACTCCCTTTATTGTCATGCGCGCACGCACGCGCGCGCGCGCGCACACACACACACTGCACACACACCCCTCAATCCTGACTGGTGGCAAGCACTCATTTGTTTGGTTTCCATCTATATAATTTCATAATTTCGAGAAGGTTATGCCTTTATTACCTCATTTTGAATAGTAGTAGAACCTCAGTCAATAGCTAGTAGAAAAACAAGATTTTACTAAAGTTGAGGATACTTACAAGAGTGCATAGGTGAACCAGGGGTTTGAACGTACCCATGTTTTTAAACCTTTCCTGGTTAAGAAAAAAAATTGATATAGTTTTACATGACAAATAGTACATTCTGTTAACTGATGTCATTCTTAAACAGAAGTAAAACACTATCATGAAAAGAATGGCAGGAGCCCACAATGTTTAATAATGACAGATGGGGATAAAACTGTGGAGTTTTGCCTAGCACAGGTGAGGCACTGGGTTCAATTCTCATGTACCACATATAAAAATAAATTTAAAAATAAAGGTCCATTTACAACTAAAAAACGTTTAAAAAAACTGGCTTTTTTGTTTGTTTTTCTGTTTTTGCTTTTTTTTTTTTTTTGTACTAGGGATTTAACCCAGTGATGTTTTATCACTGAGCCACATACCCAGCCCCCCCTTTTTTTTGAATTTTTAAATTTTGAGACAGGGTCTCACTAAGTTGCTTAGGTCCTCCCTAAGTTGCTGAGGCTGGCCATGAACTTGCAATAATCCTCCTGCCTCAGCCTCCTGAGTCACTGGGATTATAGGCATGTACCACTGCACCCGGCTGGAAACATTTTTCTTAAAAGAGAAATAGACTGGAGATATAGCTCAGAGCAAATGCTCAGCATGAGTGAGGTCCTGAGTTCCATCCCCAACACCAAGGGGAACAAAGATGCATTTATAAAAAAGGCATTTTTTGTAAGTGGTAAGTCAAATTTAAATAAATGCAAACACCTAGGGAAGTTCTTTAAAAAGTACTGAGATTGATATGCATGCAAGGTAAAATAAATCAATTCATCTATTTCATAAGTTCAGATTTGCATAGGATGCACACTTAATCAGTAATAGATCATAGTCTCTCAAATAATTCCAGCCTCCAAGTTCTCACCTTTTTCCTGTATCCAGTTTAATCTGTGAAAATAGGGCAAGTAAAATAGTACCCAAAATAACAGGAAGAAAAACGTTCTTGGCTTAAGAAGGAGGTTAAAGTAGAATTCTAGAAATCTATCACCACCTTGGTCTAGGAGTTGCTTCAGAAAAACAAACCTGTAGAAGTATCATTTCCAATGAATAATTAAGAAAAATATAATTTTTAAATGATCAAAATTAAAAAGAGTTGATTCAATGAGAATTAATGTGAAAAACTTAACATTTTATGCTACACCAGTGATAAAGACTTACCAGAAAATAAACATGCTGATAATTGTCGCAGTGACCAACAACTGGGCTGACAGGAGAAGGAACACTTTCACAATGAAAGCTGAGAAGACAGAAACATTATTTTAGTGACACAAATATTCCAAAGTAAAAATACAAATGTAATTACCTAATTTTGATACTTAATGAAGTTTTCCTTTGATTTTTTATAATGTTACTGAATTTTTTATACCTTTATTTTTTTAAATATTTTTTTATTTGTTGATAAACCTTTTTTTTTAATTTATATGTGGTGCTGAGGCTGGAACCCAATGCCTCATTCATGCTAAGCAAGCGCTCTACCACTGAGCCCCAGCCCCAGCCTCTTCCTTTGATTTTTTTGAGAATGAGAGAGGTAGTGAGAGCTAATTTCCAGTCAGCAAATGCAATAACAAAAACAAATAAAACTCTGGAGAGCCTTTAAAGAGTATTTAATCAAAGGTGGACACAGTGACATGTCTGTAGTCCCAGAGCTTGGAAGGCTGAGGCAGGACGATCCCTAGAGCCCAGGAGTTCCAGGTCAGGCTGGACAACATAGCAAGAGTCGGTCTCGAGTACAAACAACAACAACGGAAAATAATTTCAGCCAATTGTTAATTATGTTTTATTGGAGACCTTAGATTTTATCTATAGAAACCCAAATTTTCACAAACTCAGGGATTTAATTCTTTATTAGGCACTCTCCACCTTCCTTAGGACCAAAAGTGATCAGAAAGTCTCGGGATGTGGCAGTTCCCTCCTAGGGATCCAGCTACTCCCCTGGGCAGAATGGACAACAGCAACAGCTCAGGGGCTACAAGTGAACGGGATATTTACTCCTCTGGAGGTGGCCCTGGGCTGCAGAGTTTTCAGAGATCCCAACTCTCCAACCTGACTGCCATTAGCAACCCCCTTCCCTCCTATTTATAAATGCAGAAACTAAATAACCTGGTGAATTATGTCAGATCAGAGAGTTCCAAGTGAGTGACAGCAAAGTATAGTATGCCAGCATCTCTTTTTGCTCACTTTTAAGAATATTTTTTAGTTGTTGATAAACCTTTATTTTATTTATTTATTTTTATGTGGTGCTGAGACTCAAACCCAGTGCCTCACCCATACTAGGCAAGCGCTCTACCACTGAGCTACACTCTAACCCCTCTTTTTACTTACTTTCTACTGCACAGGTAGAAAACATGACACTGGCAAAGACAATTTTCTTTTTTGTGTGGCATTATCTCAATTTAAAAGGAAAAAAATGAAATAATGCTATTTAGAGTGAACTCAAAGGACGGTCAACTCTGTCCTTTTGCTGGGCAGTTTCTATTCACGAAAGCGTGACAACAGAGGAGAGGGACAAAGCTTTCTTAATCAAAATACCAGAACATACATATCCAATTGTGTGCTGCCTTCACTAAAATATTCATTTATCTAAAGTTAATTTGGCATCTATTGTATAGCAGGGACTGTGAGAGAATAAATAATAAATGTGGCCCAGAATCATAATAATAGACCCATAGATCAATGAACTAGAGTTGAGAGTCCAGAAATAAACCCTTGCTTTTATAGTCAATTGATTTTTTTAACAAATGTGCCAGAACAATTCAATGAGGGGCAAGAATAATCTTTTCAACAAAAGGAGGAATTAGGACCTTTTCCTCATGCCACAACACAAAGATTAACTAAAAATTAGGTCCTAGGCATAAACATAAGAGATAAACTCTTAGAAAAACAAAGGCAGAAGCCTTCATGAGCATCAACTAGGTAATGAGTTCTTAGATATGAGTCCTAACGCACAAGCAGGAAAAAAAAATGGATCAATTGGATTTTCATCCAAKTAAAGGCTTTGTGCCTCTAATGACATCATCAAGAAAGTCAAAGAACTCACGAGGGTTTTCTGACAAAGGACTTTCTTTCTTTTTTTAAAATATTTTTAGTTTGGGGCTGGGGATGTGGCTTAAGCAGTAGCACACTTGCCTGGCATGCGCAGGGTGCTGGGTTCGATCCTCAACACCACATAAAAATAAAATAAAGTTATTAAAAAATGTTTTAGTTTTTGATGGACACAATACCTTTATTCTATTTATTTATTTTTATGTGGTGCTGAGGATTGAACCCAGTGCCTCACACGTGCTAGGCAGGCGCTGTACCACTGAGCTACAACCCCAGCCCCAGGACTTTCTGACTAGGGACTTGTTCTACAGTCCATGAGGAACTCTTGTAATTCAATAACAAGGAGACAAATGACATAACTAAATACAGGCAAAGCTTGGGCAGCAGCCTCCCACACTGACTGCCTGGCCACAAGACTCGCTTTGACCAATGGGACATTTGCATGTGATGCAAACAGAGGCTTGGACAGCTTGCCTATCGGAGGGTGTCCTCAGTACACCTCCTTCTTGGGACCCACATGGCGAGAAGCTCAAGCCACAAGAAGTCAGCCAACACCCAACATCAACTGCCAGGCATGTCAGGGAGACACGACAGACACAGCAGTCTCAGCCACTGTCTGATTATGAGAGCACAAAGGTTGCCGACTGAGCCCTGGCAAACCCTAGAATCATGAGAGAGAAAGAAAATGGTGGGTTTACAAAAACGGAGAGAGTGGTAGTGGCTTTGAATCTTATTCTCCAAAGAAGACATTTGGATGACCGATTGAGCATGTGAAAAAACACAAATCAAAACTCTAATGAGATACCACTTCACACACACCAGAATGACTATGATCAGAAAAAAGTTGGCAAGGATGTGGAGAAATAGAAACCTTCATATATTGATGGTTGGAAGGTAAAATGTCAGTTTATATTTTATAAACTGTTTATAACAGTTTGGAAGTTTCTAGGTAGCTACCCAAGAGAAATGAAAGGATGTTCACACAACAGCCAAGGTTGACTGCAGCATTGGTATGTAATAACCACATAGTGAAATAGCTCAAATCTCTGTCAACTGATGCATGCATGGTTAAACAAAATGTGTTATACCCAGGTGATGGATTACTACACAGCCATAAAAAGAAATGAAGTAGAGACACATACTACAACATGGTTGAGCCTTGAAACCTTGATGCTAAGTGAAAGAAGGAAATCACTAACCACCACACGTTGTGCAACCCCCATTTGTATGAATCGCCCAGAAGAGGCAAATCCATGGGGACAGAAAGCAGATTCGTAGGAAATAACCACTAATGAGTAAAAGATTTATTTTTGAAGTGTTAAATATGTTCTTAAATTGACTGTGGTGATGCCTGTATAACTATATAACAACCATTGAGGTATACCCTTAAAAGTAGTAAATTCAAACATCTGTAGATTATATCACCATTCAGCTGCTTTAAAAATTTTTAGTCTAAGGCTGGGGTTGTAGCTCAGTGGTAGAGAGCTTGCCTGGCACATGTGAGGCCCTGGGTTCAATCCCCAGCACCACCTAAAGCTGAAATAAAGATATTGTGTCCGCCTACAACTAGGAAAACAAATACTTAAAAACAATTTTTAGTCCATGGGGCTGGGGTTGTAGCTCAGTGGCAGAGCACTCCTAGTTTCAAACACCATGGAAAAAAATTGTAGTCCTCATCCCCATAACTCTTAATCCATTACCCGACTCACCCTACCCCCTTCCTTTTTCCGTAGCACTTTCATCTTCTTATATACTACATCATTTTTTAAAAAGAGGGAAGTGCCCAGACTTCTTCCAGAAGAAGCAGATACGAGTGACTAACTCTAACGCTGGTGAGGAGGCTTCTGCCTACTTTTCGATGACACCTCCTTAAGCCTCATTTCCACATCTGTTGGGCGATCAACTTGGTTTGCAGGTTGCTGTAAGAACTAAATGCAGTCACATTTCCCTTGCATGACACCCTGAGGGCCTGGCATCTGTGGCAGAGGCACCCGTTGCTAGAGGCGCCCACTCCCGCTGGCTCCCTCGCTATCTGACCCAGATCTTGGTAAGGGCAGCAACGGACCCAACTGAACCAGGACAGGGAGAGGTAGCCATGCAATACAGACAGGCCAGTGACAGGGCACTGTAAACTCCCGCGGCTTCCAAGGCAGCCTCAGGAAGAGGTCAGGTGGACTGATTCAGGACACCTCTCTGTGAATGGTGTCCCCTTGGAGCCGTCTGGGCAGCTGCCTTCTCTTGTCCCCTTGTTTGTCTTTGTCCCTTTGCCTTTTCTCTTTTCTTCCTGATGGGCAAGAGCTCCAGAAGGTACCTTTCTAGTCACAGGCTGCAGGGTATGGGCCACAGGGTGACAGTGGTGGGATTCAAAGCTCACAGTCCACCTGCCAGTTGTCCAGGCCTGGGAAGGCTTAAGGGTGACACAGTGGCCAGCGGGGACCTGAGACATTAGCTTCAAACCACCTTCCTTTGAATAGCATATTTCAGGAAAGAAGAAAAAAAAAATCTCATTTAAGTCTCAGGTTTTTAGGTCTCTCTTACTAGTTGCTGAATGTCTTCCTGACTTACAGAGAATATTTAGGACATCCAATGGATACCTTTTGAAACTGAAGTCAATATTATGTTATCACTTGGAACGTGGGGAGAACATTTTGTAGTTAATGACTAATTCTCATTTCTTTAAAAGGCCAAAAGTTGTTTGCCACATGTATATTATGAATTTCTGAATCTCCTGGACAACTTGGGTGTAGTCTACCATTGCGGTACTCTATCCTATCTCATGATACAGTGTGAGTAGTAAAAGCTAATAGAATAATAATAAAAAGTCTCTCTGACAAGCAACCACACTGTGGAAATACTTTAAAAGAATGTTTGCCAAGGTAAGTGCTAGTAAGTGGTTGTCCTGCAATTGTTCAGGAAATAATGACAAGAAAAAACAATGTCTCTCCATGTTCAGTACTGATGCCACCTCTGCTGTGCTCTGTTTTGTGTCTGAGGTGCTAGGTAGCGAACCCAGGGTCTCGCAGGTGCTAGGCAACTGCTGTACTCACTGAGCTACACCCTCAGCCCTTGCTGCAACGTTTTTCCCTTTACTTTTAGAATATTTTCAACTACAGTTGGTTGACTCCATCTATGTGGAATCCCCAGATAGGGAGAGTCAGTACTTATAAGAAATGAGGTAAGAATAGGAAAGCAGTTGTTGAACTAAGTGGGTAGCTGAATCCTCATTGCCGAAATCATAGATTTATTCTTTGATATGAAAAATAAATGTCAGTTAAAAAGATAGCTTTATTTTGTGATACAGTCAATTGTGGAAACAAACTGACTTCAAGTTCTTCACGTTGAAAAGGGAGGGAAGGAGAGCAAGAGAGAGGGTAGGAGGAGGAAAGAAAGGAAGCAAAAAGAAAGGAAGGTAGGCTAAAAGTTCATCCGCATTTGCCTAATTAGCATAATCCCCAGAATGCACTATTTGGGGGGCTTTGAAAAGTTAATAGGATATACAGTGATTTTGCTTCTGGATAGATACCCAAAAGAACTGAAAGCAAGTGCCTGAAAAGATTTCAGTACTACTATATTCACGGCAGCATTATTCACAATAGGCGAAAGGTGGGAACACTATGTGTCCATCAGAGCATGGGTGGATGAGCAAAATATGACAGACACACACAATAAAATAGCATCTAGAATTGAAAAGGGACGAAATTCTGACATATGCTACAACATAGGTAAGTATCAGGTGAAATAAGTGAGGCAGGTCAGTCCTCAGAGACACATGCTGCATGATTCTCCTCGTGTCAGTTACTTAGAGTGGTCACATTCCTAAAGACAGAAAGTAAAATGGTGGTTGCCACAAGCTGCAGGGAGGCAGAACAAGGAATTATAACAATGGATACTGAATTTGAGTTTTGTAAGGGGCAAAAGTCATATGAATGGATGGTGGTGATACTTGCACAGTGTTTGGAATGTATTTAAAGTTTTAAAATGTTTTGGTAGCAACTTTTTAAGCTTTTTAAGGGTTTTACCAAAATTTTAAAAATACATTTGAGAGAGAGAGAGAGAGAGAGCTAGCGCATTTGCTCTTCTTTTCCAAAAAGTAATTTCTGTCTTCTCACCTCTGCGGACAGCATCGTCTGAGAATGCGGTGGTTGTGACTGTACTGCTGTCAGCTGGGGTTGGCTCATCTGAAATTTGTACCACATAGGTATGTGCGCGATCAGTAGCCTTGGGGTGTGGACTCCCTTGGGCTTCCTGGACCCCAGGTGAAGGTGTAGATTTGGGGGGCTGGCCAGATTGAGATTGGGCCCTTTTATCTGCTGCTTTCCGAATCAGATGTTGATCTCCCGAACTAAAGTCTATTGGCTCACTGATCTCCAAGTCCATTTTCCTGGAAGAGAAAAAGTGTTATTCATGTCCATACCTCTATAACCTTAGATCCCTGTGACATTCAGGTAATTYCCCCCCCCCAATTTTAATTATCTTGGCCCTGTCCTTGAGCACCAAGCCATGACAGTGCTTAATAAACATTCATTAAACAAATCATGAACAAATCTTTGTAAGATGAGGCTCATAGAGTAGAATAACTTGCATTCTATTATGAAATTAATATTTTTATAAAACAGGGATCTAAGGCCACCAAAGAGCTCACATTTTGAATAGAAGGTAAGCAAACAAGCAGTAAGGTGAGAGACAATATAAGCAGGCCAGAAGTGTGGAAGGATGGTACGAGAGCCCTTCATAAAGGGCTGGAGGAACAGGCAGGGAGTAGAAGGGGTTTTCCAAAGCTCCCAGAGAAGTGGGGGTTAAGCCAAGCCTGCAGGTTGTGTAGGAGTTGGTCAAGGGAAGAGGTGGAATATGGTTTTCCCAGGCAGAGGGAACAGCCTGGAGCAGGGGAGGAGCAAGCAGACAGGTCTAGAAACTGAAGGAAGTTCAGGTATCTGGGGTACGAAGTTCAAGCGTACAATGAGGTTAAACAGAGGGGCGTGGAGCACATCACTGGCGGCTGGCAAGTAACTTAAGGAGTCTGGGTATGGGAGGCAGAATAACAGTTCCCAGCGATGCGCACATCCTAATCCTCGGGACCTGTGGACATTACCTTGCATGTCAAAAGGAACACTGCAAATGCTGTTAAGGACTTTGAGATGGGGAGATGATCCTGGAACCAGTCAAATCACAAGGTTTCTTACGATCCGAATTTTAAGAGGGAGACAGAGGGATAGAAAAAGAGAAGGAGAAGGGACAATGGAAATAGAGGTCGGAGGGTTACAGGTGTTGTCTTTGAAGATGGAGAAAGTGGCCATGGGTAGAGGTGTGCTAAGGATGTTGGAAAAAGCAAGGAGTTGGATTTTCCTCTAGAGCCTCCCGAGAAGAATGCAGCCCTGCTGGCACCTCAGCTGTAGCCCAGCAGAACTGATTCAGGGCCTCTGACCTGAGGAATCAGAGGATAATCAACGTGTTGTTGTCATGCACCAAGTTTGTGATGATTTCTAACAGCAGGATGTCAAGGGTTCTCTTGGGGAACATGAGGACTCAGCAAGTCCCCTGCTGTAGGCCTTCTGTTCCACAATGGGCCACGAAGGAGTCTGGGAAGGAGACTGCTGAGAGAGCAAAGGCTTGGACAAGCTGGAGGCCAAGGGGGAAGGGCAAAAAAAGAGGTCTCAACAAAACCCCAGGCTCCTGGAGAAGCAGATGTGATTCGGTAAAAATGTTCCCTCTCCTTAAATTACTTTCTACGCTTTACAAGGTTTGTTGGAATTTTTTTCCAATACACGAAATTGTAATTGTAAAGTTCACTGGAAACAGTAAACGTATGAGAATAATCAAGAAACAGTGAGAAAGAGAAGAATTGTGAGGGGAGGGGTAGTGATTTACTTTATCAGGAATCAAAACATCATCAAACAATATGGTTAAAATTATAGTACTAATGTGGCAATAGATAAATGGATCAATGGGATGGGAGAGATTCAAAAAACAAACTGATATATTTGGGGATGTAATATTGGATAAAGATGGAATTTCAAATTATTGTCTCATGCTACTGGAACAATTATGTATTTGGAAAACAAAATAAGCTTTGATACCTATTTTGCATTATATACAAAAATGTATTCCCTGTGAATTAAACATATTATCATATATAATAATAGTCATAGATATTCTACAATAAAATACAAGGGCCGAGCACAGTGGCACACGCCTGTAATCTCAGTGGCTCGGGAGGCTGAGGCAGGAGGATGGCGAGTTCAAAGCCAGCCTCAGCAATGGGGAGGCGCTAAGCAACTCAGTGAGATCCTATGTCTAAATAAAATACAAAATAGGGCTGAAGATGTGGCTCAGTGGCTGAGTACCCCTGAGTTCAATCCCTGGTACCAAAACAATAAAATAAAATACAAGGAAAATTTTTAGAAGGCTTTGTAAGAATGATACCATAAAAGAAGTGCTGGGCAGATTCGGGTACAGGAATACTTCAATGCCATTACAAAAAGATACCAATAAATCTAAAATGCAAAATAATAAAAATAATATTTGCAAAGCTTTCTGTACTGTAAAAAGGACTTTATCAATGAAAATACAGACAACCCAAGACAAGGATGAGAAAAAAAACATGAACAGGCAATTCACAAAGGAAATTTTAATGGTCAGTAAATTTCTCTTCTGAGAAAGCAGCAAGACCTCACAAACAACCAAGAACTGTAAGTAAAAACAATAGTGAAATGTAATTTTTTTTTCATAAAAGACTGGCAAAGATTAAATATAATCCTCAGGCTTGTAAGAATATAAAGAAACAGATAACTGAGAGCCTTGCTTGCATGGGAACTATGCATGCTTATTTCCCATGGGATCCCTCCTCCAAGAAAACACTTGAAAATATATATATATATTAATTATAAAAATTAAGTATACTTCAATCCTAAATCATCTTTTATAATGGCATTGCTAAAAAGATAAATATGAGCCAGCCTAAATTCATTATATGTTAGCTATTCATTATTATATTTATTTTTCTCTAGATTTTAAACAAAATTAAAATAGTATCATGCCACCCCCAAAACAGTCATGGGCCCCAGGCATGCACATGCCTACTGTGCCTAGTGGGTAAGTCAGCCCTGGTACAACCTGGCAGCATGAAAACTTTTTTGGGAAGTGGAATGGGATGCAATTTGGCAGCATCTATCAGATATCAAAATGTGTATTGTTAGACCCAACTGTTAGGATTTTAGAACTTTACCCCATAAATATATTCACTAGTAATTAAAGATACACATAAAAGGAAATTAATTACATCATTCCTTGCTTATAACTGCAAAACAAAACAAAAACAAGGAAAATGGCCTAATATCCATCAGCATATAAAGGGTTAAATTAATTTTGGATAGGAAAAGGCAGATATATATGGATTAATGTGAAGTTCACTGTGATACAGGTTTGAATTTTTAAAGTAAGATTAGAAAATAATATTTAGTAGAAAATCATATTTAGTGAGGTTACTTAAATGTTACACACACACACACACACACACACACACACACACACCTTCCAAGGAGTGCAAAGATATACTACAAACTGTTATCTCTGACATAGCAGAGTTGGGGAATACACTCTGAATGGTATGGATTTTAACAATGAACATCTATTACTTATAATAATAATAAAATATATATTTACATTTTGAAGAGAAAAAGATCTATTTCTCTTGTTGATAAAGTCTGGAGCTCTTCTGAGAAAGCAGCCTTCACACAAAAATGAGAAGCATTGAAAGATGCTCGAATAACCAACCTGGTTTCTCCCCGAGTCCTGTGAATCAGAAATGGGAGAGAACGCAAGATTTTCAAGGCACTCAAAAAACAAAACCAACAAAAACCAAAGTCAACTGAGTTTTCCTCATGAAACTACATTAGGCTGGTGCCTGAATCACGAAGTGAGACCTTCACCTGGTCCTTAAAAATCTCTCCTGGCTCCCGAAGCAGCCGTTATCCACAGGACAGGCAGGTGATGTGACTGAGAAGCAAAGTTCTGAGCGACAGTTAGGGGAGTGGCAGTTGGAGCATTTGGTGTGGGCTGGGGACCCGCTGCCTGGCCGAGGGGCGAGATCAAACCCCATCCGCCAGGCCTCTTCCAAACTAGCTATTGCCCCCTGTGTTGGATCTCAGGGAGACCTACATTTTGAGTCATCAAACCAATTCCTTGTCCCAGAACAGGAGACTCCATCCAGGAGGAAGCAGTGTCTCTTCAACCATGCCATCACTGTCTCTAGAGCAGGAGGAAGATGATCATGAAACTCCAGTGGGGGCACCCTTCAGAGGTCCTGCACAATTATTCCAAATAAGTAAGGGTCATTTATGATAAAGTCGGGGCTGATCTTTACGGTGAGTGATGATCATGGTGCCCTCCCCTGGTACAGGGAGACTACTACCTGCGGGTGGCAGGCCGATGAGCAGCTGGGGAGGGGCCCCTTTCAAGCTGCTTGGGGAGAGAAGTCAGAGGATTAGGTAAGGAACAGCTAGTCCCTTTCCCTGGGATGGCTCGTCAAGAAGGAGAATGGGAGCAGGAACTTGTCCTGTTGCTGCTGAGAAAAGGTGATTCATTAAATGGCTAATTAGTGCTTGTCTACTCTGCCCAAGCAGTGGGGGAGTGGAAGAAATACAAAGAGCAAAGAGACACGCTTCCTTCCCTCATCGTCAGCCAGAGGGGATGTGTGCAAAAGGGTGCACCCAAGGTAGAGAAAGGGAAGAGTCATTGAAGGGAACAGTATTCAGGGATAGAGTTGGAGATGTATTTTCATCATGGGTCTGAGATGATTGTTGGAAGGTTAGGGTCAGATGTGAAGCACCTTCCAGGCAAAGAGAACCCCTAAGCCCTAGCATGAGGGTGGCGACCATGGGGACACCCTCTACAGAAAGTTGGTCCCTTAAGTCATAACATGGGAGGTGTAGGAGGTGTGCCTGCAGCGGAAGACAGAGATGTTATACCGACCCTCCTGAAGATAAAAAGGGAAAAGGTCAGTGAGAAAATCTTCCCTGACTCTCCTCTCGAACCTTCTTGCAGTTTCATGGGTCTTACTCCTTGGTCCAGTCTCCAGGCTCTCTATGTGGTTTGTTGATGTTAACAGGCAATGTGAGTGAATCATATCTTCTTCCAAAATGTATTTAACATGATTGACATGACTACATGTCAGGGGTATATCTGATGACTTGGCCACCGTTTGGACTAAAGACATAGTTCCTCCCCCTCCTCCTTTCTTAGCTTACCAGCATCATAGTGGACACTAATCAGATACTTACTAAATGTAGCAGTTGTTTTCAGCCTCACATGGATGAACACATTTAATGCTCACAACAGCCCTATGAGTATGTTTTCATTGCCCTCATTTAACAGGTGAGTAAATCAAAGGGAGATGGAGTGGCAGTGGCCCCTGCAACGCATGGGGAGAGGCCGTATGGTCAAGGAGACCTCTATCTGCCCATCAAGAAACAAAATGCGGTGAAGGCTTATCTCTTTGAAACCAGTCCTGTGATATATTTTGTATATCTGCTCTTTTCTTTTTTAATATTGAGAGTTTTAATTAATGAACTTACAACATTCAAATCGTGCAAATCAGACTCCATGCTAACACTGACAAGCCCCTGGGGAACTCTACTTCATTCTTTCCCCTTAGTGTGAATTTTTAAGACCTTGGGAGGTATTCATTTCTGTGTCCATTCCTTACACACACTAGTAACTCCACCACCACTACCACCTCAATTTCCCCAGACATTCCATAGACACCAAATTGTCTACGCACTCCAGCTGAACACTTCCTCTGGATTCAGGTTGAGAATCTCTTACTAGGTGCCTATGGTCTGAATGTATTCCCCCCAAATTCCTGTGTTCAATTTAATCAACAATGTGATAGTCCTAAAAAGCAGAGCCTTTAGATTAAGTCATAAGGACAAAACCCTTCCACTCCAGGAGGGTACCTACATGGCCTTTCATGAGGATTTTTCAAGTTAAAAATTTGATATTTTTTCTTTATTTTTAAAAATAAAAGTCATGAATGCATGTGGTAAGAAAAAGTCAAACAATACAAAAGGGAGAAAAATGAAAAAAAAAATCCCCTCCCTGGCCACCCTTGTTGACAAAAATGTATGTAACAGAGAACTTATTAATTTGTACAAYGTGATTGTATTATATACATTGTTTTATAAAATGCCTTTTTCTCCACTAAATAGCTGAGATTTTTTTTCTTATTAGTACATTTATGAACCTTGAATAGTTGCCTGTCTCACTCAAAATAAAGTCCGAAGTCCTTATTTGGACAACAAAAACTGATGCCCAAACCTGACAAAGATATTACAACAAAGGAAATTATAAGCCCACATCACTCATGAACCTAGATGTAAAAAATCTCAAAATAATRAACTAAACCCAACAATATATGAAAAGGATAATATATCACAAGTCACGTTTCATTCCCAAACTTGCAATGTTCATTTAACATTCAGAAATCTGTATAATCCATAGATTAATAAAGAATAAAAAACATTATGATCATCTCAAAACCATTTAATGAAATTGTGTTACAGCACAGGTGCCCACTGCTGTGGGGTCAAGACAGCGATGGTGGTCTTCTGATACTAGCTCTTTCAATCACACCAGCAAGATTTTAGACATGTTGCTCAGAGTAGCTGCACRAGTTTATTRGAAAGGATAGAGAAAGGGAAAGSGGAGGATGGGTCCTCTCAGAGGAGGATGGTACTCCTCTACTGCCCTCCAGTTTTATTGGGGAATCTCAGGAAAGTTTCCAGAGAGTCCTGCCCATATCCACCTCTTGACTTTTGACTGACAGCAGGATGGCATTAGATTTTTTCAAGTCCCATCTGTGCATGATAAATATCCAAGGCAGCTCTGGGTCACTTTATCCCATGCTGAACTGGTTTTTCTGGGGTTTTGTTTGTTTGGTACCAGGAATTGAACCCAGGAACAAAAGCACTGAGCCACATCCCAAACCTTTTTTTATATTTTAATATTTAGAGACAGAGTCTCACTGAGTTGCTTAGGGCCTTGTTAAGTTGCTGAGGCTGGCTTTGAACTTGAGATCCTCCACTCCTGCCTCAGCCTCCCAARCTGCTGGGATTATAGGCATGTGCTACCACACACCCAACTTGCAGATTTGTTTTAATTGGAACTTATTCTCACAGATTTTATGGTTAGGAGAATTACCCTAACCTCCCTGAGTTCTGGAACCTGGTCTGTGTAAGGGTTACAAAAGATCCCCCACCCCCAATCAGGGTAACTTGCAATCTTCTTATCAGCATTTAGGGTCTACATTTCTCCAGCAGATAATAGGTTGTTTCCTGAGGAACATCACCAGGAAGGGCTGCAATTTAATTGCTTTTTTTAAGAGAGAGAGAGAGAATTTTAATATTTATTTTTTAGTTCTCGGCGGACACAACATCTTTGTTTGTATGTGGTGCTGAGGATCGAACCTGGGCCGCATGCATGCCAGGTGAGCATGCTACCGCGTGAGCCACATCCCCAGCCCCATTTAATTGCTTTTTAAAAGAAAGCATGTGGGCTCAGCACAGTGAGCCCAGTTTAGATAATTATCTCCTTAACTTCATGTTCCTACTGCTCACATGCATGATAAATACAGGACCAGAARGAAATTCCTTTGCCTAATAAAGAAAATTTATAAAATCTACAGCATCAGAGGATTATCTCGATAAAGAAAAGAACCTCATTTGCAATAGTTATGTCTCTTTCTCCATTTGGTCCCTGGAATGTGATTACTCTGTAATAATTAACCTGTACAAGTATGAGTTGGGTACTTTAAAGTATGTGTTTGAATAAGTTGTTAAAAAAAATTAAAGGAAAAAAAGTATACATCTCCCTAATGATCTCAGAAGGGTAGAAGGTACAGCCAGGAATTGGAAAGCAGACAGGATGGGGCATGACCTGAGTGGGATGAGAAAGAATTGAGATGCAGGCCCAGGATGGCGTCCTATGGCAGAAAGGAAGTTGGTGAGCCAGGGGTCAAGATCTTCAATGAATGAGAAAGTAACTTATAGCTGACATACAAAGAGTGGTATACACTGTCAGATGGAGGAGATAGACTAGCATAGGATTTAATGTCTAGAGTCCCTCACAGAGTACATTGCAGGGAAGGAAAATCTTCCTTCTACTTCCTTAGGTTCTGTGACTGGGCCTGAGAATTAAATTAACAAAAGAGAGATTAACAGGGGAAAAGCATACACATTTTAGTTAATATTTTTACATGCATAGGAGCCTTCTTTAAGAAAAYGACAGAAGGGCTGAGGATGTATCTCAGTGGCTAAGTGCTTGCCTAGCATGCAAGAGATCCTGGGTTGATCCTCAACACCCCCCACCCCCGCCAAAAAAAGTGATGGAAACTTACGTGGCCTTTTAAACAAAGAATAATTGTGGTAATGTGAAAAGACTACAGGGCTTGGGCTCAGCTGGTAGACTGTGGGAAAGATACTAGAAAATATATAGGGGACACTAGTAGAAAATTAAGTGTTACAAATTTTAGTAATTTGTTTGCAGATTCATGTGGGAATCAGTTCTCTCTGGTAACAGGAACACAGGCATTCTTCTCTGCCTAACACAGGGAGGACACTTTGCATAAGGCAGGTTTCATATCCTGCTTCAAGTAGAAAGCTCCATTGCTGATGCTTCATTGCCCTCAACTCAAAAGAA